TTTTTTTTTTTACATAAGTTCATATCTCCATTTAAACATTATTTATTTATTTTTAGTTTTCAACATTCTATTTTATTATAAGATTTTGAATTTTAAATTTTCTCCCCCTCCTTCCTCTCCCCCCTCCCCAAGAAAATGTGCAATCTGATATAGGTAGGCCATATATCACAGTTTTCAAATGATTCTCTTTGCTCCCATAACCCTCTATGCTCTTTTGCCACTACAATCTTCTGAATGTTCATCTCTTCAGCTTTTCACCCCTGGCTCCAGTTTCTGGAATGCTTTCCTTACTCCCTGTTCCTTCTTTGCTCCCTTCTTCACCTCCCTAGGAAGCAGAGCTGGGCCAACAAAGGACTTATTCCATTGATGGATTATGCTCCATTAGGGGGGAAAAAAAAATGTTGAGAGATACTAAATGCTCTTCATCTTGGCTCTGTAAATTACCTATATTAGGAAAATTAATTGCATAAGTCAGTCACAAATTACCAAAAAAAAAAATCACTGGAAAGTCAGATGATAAAGTAACACAAAGAGACTAGTGGAATGAGATAGATTTGCTTAGATTTAGGGGCCAAAAGGACTGATAGAGGCAGCATGCTCTATGCTGTCCTTGAAAATTATGAGTCATCGCCCACTTTTAATGGTGTTGTCAACAGACCCAATGGGATGAATCATGTGTTGCAGACATATGAAAGAAGGACTCTGCTTTTTTCTCTGCCAACTGATTTCATTGTTCAGTTGGACTACTAGGCAATGTTGTAAACATGGGATCACATGTCAGTAAGAGACATTTTCCTTCCATCTTGGATGAACACAAAAATCAGTTCACCATAGAATTAAGTAAAATCTTGCCAAAAGACAAATGATGAAATAAATGCCTTTTCATAGTTCTTTAAAGCCCTGCAATTCCATAATTCATTTCTAAGTAGAAGGACTAAGTTTAGCCCCAGACGGGGAGTTTATCTTGGGCTTTCAGCTTCACCATTCTAGATAATTAATACCCTCATAGTCTCCCTCCTTTCCCATTATTAAAACTTGCTCTAGGAAAGGGTCTGAATACAGACCTTTGCACCTGGATCCCTTATGCCTCTCTCTTGGTGCCTCATCTTGAATTGCAGAATAAAGGGCTTTGTCCCAAAGAATTTCAGGCTGTATGGAATAATTGGGTCATGTACTATGATGAGGAAGAAGGCTTTTCTGTGACTTGAAATCATACTAGTGGGGCAGTCATCTATTTTGCCTATAGGTAAGGCTATCTCTAATCCCAGACATTGTAGTTCAAAGTCTCAGTTTTACTTATTACCTTTTACGGGTATCATGTAGTCCTCAGGTCATATTTGGCTTTGTGGACACAGTAGAAGCTGAAGACTAGGTTCAAGTTGGTGGTAAACAAAGGCAGTGATTCCCTAGAGATCAATTTCCTCTAGTTATCTGGGGTTCATTTGGGTGGGAAGTTATTGAAGGCCAGATGCAGCTACTTCCAAAGTTTATACAAATCTACAAATTTGCTCTAAAGTCCAAGCAACTCTTGTTACTCCACAGGTGGCAGTGGTAGCTAACCTTTGTATAGTGCTTTAAGATCTGCAGAGTGTTTTACATATGGTGCCTCATTTGATCTTTATAACTGCCCTGGGAGGTAGGTCCTATTACTATCCCCAGTTTATAGATGAGGAAACTGAGGCTGAGAGCAGTTAAGTGGCTTGCCCTAGATCACACAATTAGGAAGTGTATGAGGCTGATTGGAACACAGGTCTTTCCAACTCTAAGTCTACCACTCTATCCAGTTTGCCCCCAAGCTGCCTTAGTGGAAGTGCTAGAACCACTAAGATTGGCTATCATTCAATCTGTAGTAATAATAACAGCTCATACTGACTGCAAGCTTAATATTTACGAATCAGGAGTGTAATATGGCAGGTGCAAATGCTAATGTGATCTTAGGCTTCTTCAATAGAGGAATAATATTCAGAATACTGCAAGTTATAGCTTCAACATACTCTCTCTGGTTATCCCACAACTGGAATAGCGAGGCACAGCTAGGTGGCGCCATAGTGCATAGGGTGCCAGGCCTGGAGTCAGGAAGACTCATCTTCCTTAGTTCAAATCTGGCCTCAGACACTTACTAGCTGTGTGATCCTGGGCAAATCACTTAACCCTATTTGCCTCAGCTTCCTGATCTGTAAAATGAGCTGGAGAAGGAAATGGCAAACCACTCCATTATCTTTGCCAAGAAAACTCCAAATGGAGTCATGAAGAGTCAAACATGACTGAAAATGACTGAACAGCAATAATGGAATATGGGGTTCAGTTCTGAGTACCATCTTTTAGGAAGAATAGGCTAGAGAAAATTCAGAGGAAGGTGACCCGGATCTTTCTGCCACTTGAGGATTCATAGAAAGGATCAAGAGTGTCTAGACTCAAGAAGACTCAGAGCTATTCAAAAGTGTAGTAGACTCAGGAGGTAATGGGTTCCTCCTCATCTTAGGTCTTTGAGCAAAGGTTGGATGAACCTTTGTTGGAAGTAATACAGAGGTCAGATCTGAGTTATCTTCCAACTCTAACAATCTGTAATGTTTTTCAAACTTTAAGATTTGCAGGGGCAGCTAGGTGGCGCAGTGGATAGAGCACCAGCCCTGAAGTCAGGAGGACCTGAGTTCAAATGCAGCCTCAGACCAAACACTTGACACTTACTAGCTGTGTGACCCTGGGCAAGTCACTTAACCCCAATTGCCTTAAAAAAAAAATTTGCAAAGTGATTTCATCAAACTCATTTGATGAGTTTGCAAACTCATTTGATCCTCATGACAACTTTGTAATGGAGGATGCTATTATTAATCCCATTTTATAGATGAGGGAACTGAGGCTGAGAATGATTAAGTGATTTGCCCAACATAGCTAGGAAGGGTGTGAGACAGGATTCAAACTCAAATTATATGACGTGTTTCTTTTATAAACATCGCTAGTTATTATTGACGTTGTAACCATCATCATTGATAGTATTTGTTTTTATCTGAACTTGTTAATTTCATTGGTGGATGGAACTCCTGGTGAGGAAATCCTTTCTGTTAATGTGTGTCAGCATCTGCTCAGCAATTTATAGCCTTAGAGAGTTGCTGTCCACCGTGTTCCATTGCGCCTCTATTTGTTATTATTGTTATTATTATTTTACATCTCCCCCCCCACAAGATTTGGAATCAAAGGAAATGGATTTGAATCCCAAAGTCTGCTTACTGCCTCCTGTGTCATATTTCCAGACCTCAGTTTCTTCATTTGTAAAATGAGGTACTTGGACCAGATGATATCAAAGATCTCTTCCAGCTCCAAATGATGGTGTTCTTGTGATTCTTTGATTTTGTGATATAATACTATTTCACATTTGTATTATGTTTTACTACATATAATGTACTTTATTCAAAATGACATTATTGAAATAGGCTTTTCAAGTATTATCTTCATTTTACAGTTGAGGAAATTGACATTTAGCTTAAATTACCCACCATGATCACACAGCAAGTAAGTGGCAGTCAGAAATGGAACACAGTGGTTGTGATTCCAAGTGTTGTATTTTCTTAAACTACTGTATTATGACGATATAAATAACTACATATTCAGTATATTCAATAACATTGATTACCATTTTGTATAGTACTCCATATCATCTCTAGTTACATTTGTTCAGTAGGTCCAAACAGTAACTCCCACAAATAGGATTCTGTTTTGTCCCAGACAGCAAGACCTGAATGCTTCTATCATAACCATCATCTCAAAGGACCACAAAGTACATAAAACATTTCATATCCCTTGGTACAAGGGACATAGTCCACACTGGCACCAATATTTATATCCTTTTCCAAGGGGTTTTATCTTAACTGATGTCAGGGTAGCTTGGGATTCTCACAATAAAGCCAATTTCCAGTACAAGAGCAGATGCTGTTTTCCATTCTACTTACTGGAACGTGAATCCTAAAAGCCAAGTAACCGGCAAAAGGCCTTGAGTGGAGTCACTGACAAGGTCAGGATTAGAATTTGGGAATTCCCTGTTCTTAGACTCAAATTACTAGACTCGAAGTCCACCAGAAAACAACCAATCCCCAGTCTTCTTTTACATTCACCACAGCTAAGTTAAAGATCACCAAGACCAAATAAAAGTTTATTCTCTGAACTTGCATCTCCCTTACCTAGTTTAATTCTTCTTTTGTGGCCAAGAATTGTTTGATCAGGAATAGTCAAATCAAAGGGTTTAATAAGCTAGGGATAACAACCTGCTACTTTTCCACACAACCAACAATCTCTTAAGTAGTTTTGGATAACTGTGAGAATCTGTTTGTACTTTTGACACAGTTTTTAATAGTATATCGAAGCTTAACTATATCCACACACTGGCTGGTATCACAGAAGTTCCTGAGTCATGCAGGTCTGTTACTGATATGCTGGCAGAAATCTCATTTATGTCTACATGAATCTTGTGTGTCCCAAGTATGTTACTGCTTTGGAAGCTCAACCGGGAATTAAGAATAAAGAAAGCAAAGACAATGAATACATAACCATGCCCACTGCAGTGTAAACAAAGACTAACAGAAGACAACAAAACTCAAGTCAAATACAGCTTATAATACAGGTGGTGGTGTTCAGTCGTTTTCAGTCATGTCTGACTCTTCATGACCCCATTGGTGGTTTTCTTGGCAAAGATACTATAGTGTTTTGCCACTTCCTTCTCCAGCTCATTTTGCAGATGAGGAAACTAGGGAAAATAGGGTAAAGTGACTTGTCCTGGGTCACACAGCTCGTAAGTGTCGGAGGCCAGATTTGAACTCAGGAAAATGAGTCATCCTGACTCCAGGGTTGACACTCAATCCACTGCACCCCCTAGCTGCCTATAATACTGTTCTGAGCTACTAAAGATAAAGCACACATTCTTTATTTTATTTATTTATTTATTTATTTTGGCGAGGCAGTTGGGGTTAAGTGACTTGCCCAGAGTCACACAGCTAGTGAGTGTTATGTGTCTAAGACTGGATTTGAACTCAGGTCCTCCTGACTCCAGGGCTGGTGCTCTATCCACTCTGCCACCTAAGTGCCCCTTCCCCTTTATTTTAACAACCAGGAAACCATGAGAGTAGAAGGCCGTGTGTACTGTGAGACCCAATAACTATTGGACAGTCTTGGGAACAGGAATGTTTTCCCTCACCTTTGCTTCTTAGAATCTCAAGCTTCTTTCAGGTAACACCTCTTACAGGAAGCCTGTCCTGATTCCCCCAGTCGTTAGTGTTCTTTTCTTCCTGAAAACAGTTTATCAGGTTTATATAAATGGTGTTTCTCTCTGGGAGAATGCAAATTTCTTGAGGCCAGTGACTGTTTCATTTTTGCCTTTGTATCTCCAGCAACTAGCATGGTGTCTTACACAGAGTGGGGACTTAATAAATATCTGTTAGATTTAACTGTTTGGGGGAAATTTACTTTGTGGTAAGGTTTGTCTTGGAAGTATCTGTTGTATTCAAACAAGTGTATTAATTATAACAATTTGTCTCAAGGAGGTTCTGACATTGGCAGGTCCCAATTCTGGAGAGCCAATTCTGGAGATCCAATTTTGGTTCCTAGGTTTAGAACTAGAAGGAAACCTAGAGGTCCCTGAGTCCAACTGGTTCACTTTAAAGGACGTTGAGGCCCAGAGTAGCTAAATCCCCAGGGTCACAAAGCTAAAGCAAGATTTGAACAGCAGGTTCTCCTGACCCCCAAGTCCAATGCCAACTCCTGAAAAAGTCAACAAGGAAAAACACAGGCATGATCTTTGTGTCCAAGGGCTGCAGCAACACAGCAGTCTTCTGGATATGTAATAGTTGCGATATTTTCACATTTAACAGTTCATAAGTCGCAAAGGCACACTTACACAAACATTAGTTTTCTTCCTTGGAGTTTCCATTCTTTCTGATCCTTACACATCATCCCCATTTTCTAAGTGATGAAACATGTATTGCTAAAATGGAGCAACAAGAAATTTCTTCCTAATATCTGCTGTAAAATATTATAATATGTATACATAATTTCAATTTTTTTATTAGTTCTAAAACCTGAAAATATCACATTTGGCTTTTTACATTGTCTTCTTCATAAGACATTTTGCTTCAGGAGGCTGGCTGAATTTATTTTAAACCAGGTAAAGTGATATCATTTCATGAGAGCACACTGAAAACCAGAATCTATTATACATTTAGAAGCTACTCAATGATATCCAGACATTCTGTATAATGCTAAGTAGATCTCACAGTGAACAAAAGAACATGGGAGATATCAGCCTTATGAAAGCCAGCATCCAGAAGCTTGTCATGATGAGGCTGTGGAACCACAGTTGCATTAATATCTTCTAAGCCTCATCAGTGGGTGTAGCTGTTCATGTCTCCCAGTTAATATATGAGAAACACCTCCTCCCCTACTGAGCCCCCTGGAAAACAAAAACACAACTAATAAAATTCACAATCTGGTAGGAGGAAGATCAAATCTCTTCTGGATGTTAGTGATTGCTTCAGTTATGGAGGACATATGTTTTTCTCCTCCATGAATGTCAAGAGAGTTTCTTTAGTGTCTGCCTACAACATGTTGAGTTAGCTCAAATGTCTGGAATGTGATATTTCTTTTAGTTAATTCACCCAGAAATCAATTAAATGAAAAAACAAGAAAACGCCAAAGCTCCATTAGAGCTAGTTCTATACCTTGAAATGCTAACATTTAACAGGCTAACATCTTCATGACTGTTTTTTTCCTTAGAATTGCATTAACAGAAATCAATGTAGCTTAATCAGCATTTGTCAAGACCTTACAGTAAGATCATAAAATAAAATACATGATTTGTTACAGTGCAAGGCAAGCACATGAAATTTATATTATAAGGAAATAAGGGAGTTTAAAAATAATATTTTCTTAACTAATTTTCTTTGTTCATTCGAAAAATAGTAATTCTGCCATTTGGGGAACACACAAATCAAAGGAAAATTATGGATTGGAACAAATGTCTAATAAAAATGAAGTAATAAAAGAACATATTACAGTTAATACTACTGAGACAAAGCAACAACCCTTGGTAGAGAAAACAAGTAGATGAGGATAACTCAGTGACCATGCCTAGCCAGCTGACTGTCTCCATGAGATCACTGTTTCTTCTTGTCAGACCCTCAGGAGATACCAAAGTAAGAGATATAAGGTAACTTTAAAAGTCTAAATAAAAAAATCGAGCTACAAAAGACATTCTTCTAAAAGAAAAAAAAGTTCTGCTTAACAGAATTATTAAAGGATTTTAAATGTACTCAAGTGTGCTGAATAATTCCAATGACATACTCTGAAGGAATGATTTTTAGAACTCCTTAGGAATCATGATAACCCCAATTCTTGTCCATATAGATCATATTCTTTAAACAAGATATATTCTCTTAAGATAGCTGGTAGAGGAAGCTTCTCTATAAATTCTGGTTTGCACAGTCTCTTTAATCCCACAAGTCTTCGAATTCGTAGTCGACACAAATGCTTTAATGAGCAGGGGTTCTCTAACAAAAGAAAAAAAAGGGGGTATTATCAAACAGACCATGATAAGACTTTATGTTGCAGAATAACATGGATATGCATTTTGGGAACAAACATATTTATTACAAAAATCACAATTCTTGTTCACCTTAAAGTATTATGACAGATTGCTAAAGGAAGAATATGTTCAAAATGTTAACTGTGGTTTTCTACTCATTTTTTAGGCCCTATTAGAGAATGACATTTGTACATTTCTTCCTGTGGTCTTTGTCCTACCCATTTCCTGAATATGCAGATAGCTTCTGCCTCAAGTTTACCACATACCTTTAAAGCTGTTACACCCATGTGTCATTTCAAACATTGGGTCAGTTTCAAATTTATGCCTCTGTCATATTTATACCACAGTAGCATTTTCAGTTTCTTCTAAAAATTTGATATCAACCTACTTTGGTTAAGCACCAGATGGCAACATATTTTACCATTTTGACTTTCTCTATTTTTATAAAGGCAGCACAGCTAGTGGATAGAGGACTGGCATCACAGTCAGGAACATTTGGGCTCAAGTCCCATTTCTGACCCAGAGTGGTTATACGATCCTGGGTCAGACATTTTACCACTCAGTGACTTCTCTAAGGCTTTAAGTTGTGAAACAGAAGCAGGGATAGAACACTGGTCCTGTAATCAGAGGTCTATGGCTTCAGATACGTACTAGCTATGTAATCCTGGACAAGTCACTTAACTTCTGTTTGCCTCAGTTTCCTCATCTGTAAAATGAGGATAATAATGGCACCTACCTTCCAAGGTTGTTGTGAGGATCAGATGAAATAATAACTGTAAAGCACTTAGCAAAGGGCTTGGTCCATAAGTGTTATGTAAATGGTAGCTATCATTATTATTAAATCTGTTTTGGTAAGAAATAATTTCCTTTCTAAGAGTTTCTTATGACATCTAAATTCCAGGCCTAGAGTCTCCAAAATAGATTTATTATAATAATTGTAATCATATTAGCATGTCATTCTGCACAATTGGTGATCTTATCCCAAAGTGATTTAACTAATCACCTTCGTAAATGTCCTGCTAACAGTCAAACATATGCATTTTATTGAAACACTGTTTCCCAATGGTTTGAATATAGAATGCTGATAACCATGCTGAATAGAATCATTACCTCTACTTTTAGCATATTGTAATTTTATTTTACTCTCCAATAAACCTATTCTGTTACATTTAAATAGAACAACACTGACATCCAGTGGCCAGGTACACTCATTGTAATTGACTAGTCTGTACAAGTTGTTGAAGTAATGCTTCAATATTCAATCTGAGATTCAATCTGAGTGTGAAGCCACCCTACACTGAGGCAAATTGCAATGCCCTTATCCTTCAGCAAATGCTTTTTACGAGCTGCAAAAGTCATTGGCTTGGCTGTTAACCTTCTGGTGATAAACCTCTCCCTGAACTTACCAACTAACTTGGTCCTTAGACAAGTAACTAGGAGACTCTAGTTCTCTTCAGCCTGCCAGAGCTTATGCTCCAATGGCACATAGCCTTCAGGAATTTAGTGTTATCTCCAAGCCTTGCTTAGACAATGGAGTAGGTCTTTTGCGGAAGTGCTGAAGAAGTACTGAAATCTTCTAAGGATCCATGATTCTATTGGCTTGAAAACTCTCTTGAATGATGGATGTCACAATCCCTATACGCACTAGTAGATGTCTGAATTGGTGTGTGGCCCAAAAAAGAAAAAAGATCATCACCTGATAACCAAGTCTCTGGTGATGAGACTTAGTTTCTGACCTGAGTTGGGTTGCTCCTCAGACAACAAACATACAATCATTTCACCTATAGTTTGACTTCACATGCTTTATAATCTCAGTAGGTTCTGCCAGAACTCAAGTCCCATTGACATGATCTTGTTTTGGGTTTTTTTTTTTAGGCAATTGGGTTTAAGTGACTTGCCCAGGGTCACACAGCTAGTAAGTGTCAAGTGTTTGGTCTGAGGCTGCATTTGAACTCAGGTCCACCTGAATCCAGGGCTGGTGCTCTATCCACTGTGCCACCTAGCTGTCCCCCATTGACATAATCTTTAAGAACTAAGGGTTTATTCCAGGTTGTGATGAGGCAGAAGAGTAGGATTTTTGTAGAGGTGTTGAAGACCTAATCTATAAAAATGATTGGGCTTGATATTGAGGAAAACTTGCTCTGCATTAGACTTCTTAACAAAAGCAGGATGGGCTAATTCAAGGAGTGGTAGGTTCTCCATCCTCGGAGGTCTTCAAGCTGAGGTGAGTAAACACTTGTCAGATATAGTGGGTATTCCTTTTGGCTATAGGTTGGAGTAGCTGGTTACTGAGGTTCCTCCTAACTCAAATTCTGAGATTCTATAATCTTATTTTGAACCGACAGCCTACTGGTCTGACACATTGGCATTATAAATTATGCCAAAATCGTGCATTGATCTTTTGTGGTAAATGCATACACATCATTTAATTACAATGGAAGAGTAATACCTGAACATTTGCCTTCTCAATTCTTGAAACTCTGCTTTTAGTTATCATAAAACTCCTCTAATTCTGCCTTCTCAGCTCAAGAGAGGGAATCAGTTGATTGTGGACTCAGTTGACCAAGAATTCAAACTCACAGAACTATACTAGGAAAGAACGCTATACCAGACCTGGGTTATAGTCCCAATTCTTCACTTACTGTGTGTCCTTGGGCAAATCACTTATCCTTTTTAAACCTTTCATCATCTGATGACCTGCCTACCTCACAAGGTTATTGTAAGGGTCCAAGGAGATCATGTACGTTCAGTAAATGCTCCCAACCCCCATTCACACTGACAGGTCGAGGCCCCAGAGCTAGAGTGCTACTTGTCTCCTTAGGGAGTCTTGGAGTTGCTTTTCCTCAATTCATCCAGTCTCCACTTTGCTTCTAATGCAGACAGTGTCCTCAGCAGTTTTGGGGACACTCCTAGTATGCTGATCTCCTTAATTCCTCTCTGGGCTCTATTCTTGACTCTCCGGATTTTCTCCACCATATCACAGCAGCCCTTTTATTCTGGAAGATGTTAGGCCCCTGTAGCCCATTCCTCTGATTGGCTAGTTAGTCTCAGACCTTCCATCTTAAGGAAAGTATCCAGGCCAGCTATGTTCACTCCCCTTTTCCTCTCCTGGCTCTGTGCCTGATTCTCTGGATTTTCTCTATCATGCCTCCACATGGGCACATTTTCCCACTCCAGCCCCTCTTCAGTTTCCTTTTATATGTTGTCTTCTCTCATTAGAATTTCAACTCCTTCGGGTCAAGAACTGTCCTTCCTTTCACTCATATGTGTTCCCAGCGATTAGCACAGTGCCTGGTGCATAGTTAATGCTTAATAAATGCATGTTGATTTATCTTCCTCTGGCCAAGGGGAAGTGGAGAGACTGAGGCAGAGACCAGGACTCTTCTTGCTCCCAAATGATTCCTACTCAGAGACTTGGTTGGATGACTTCCACCTTAAGCTGCTAGAAGTTTGAATTTCTAGGTTCTGAACTGTTTTGCTATTTTATAGTCAATCCACAGAGAATAATAATGGTAATAAAAACAATAATAACAAATAACTGAGTTTCCTCAACCAATCTGAATATACCTCTGGTACAATGTCATCCCAGTTAAGGACATCTAAATCAATTAAAACTTTTTCCACCCTTAGTCTAAACTTTATGATTGACTGATTCAAATAAAAAAAATTTTTTAACCTGGTTAAGGCACCAGGGCATAGCATCTTTTCATATTAAATAGAGTGGGGCAAAGGATAGGTTGACTCAATCTACCCTCACTCTTACATATGGGAAAGTTCTGTGTTGCACTGGGTGCTTCAAAATTTTAAAATATTTCTCTTTAGCTGGTTTGTGATCTTTTCCAACTGGTCAGAAACATACACTCCCTCCACTCACTTAAATTCATTGCTACTACAGTGCATAGATTCGCAAAGTCAATTTTAATTAGTGTAACAGGCTCTGTGACTATAACAAAAACCTTAACAACACCCATATTTTTGCTAGCAGTTTGGATGCCAGTTTGGATTCAGCTCAGGCCTCTGATTTTCATTTTCAGCTTCCTAAATGGTTAGGACATGGCCTTTTAGGAATGGGATCATATTTTATTACTTTAGCTCAATAAGCGGAGCAGCTGTGTGATGCATGATAGATTGTTTCATCTCTGAGAACAATTTATTCCTGTTATGAAATCCAAGAAACAAGTATTATTAACTTACTATATTATTATGATTATTTTATTTATATATTACTATATATTATTAACTTATTTTAACAAGGAATAGGTATTATTAACCTAAAAAGTCTCAGATTAAGAAGAAAACTGCAGTATTTCAAAAGACCTGTGATTTCATCAGCCTGAGCATTCCTTTCACCAGAGCAGATTGTGACCCATTCATGCTCTCTCGTCTGATGTGATGCTCGTCCACATCTTTCCGTAAATTCTCCAAAGAGGAGTCTGCTCAGTGAGTTGATGGGTACCATCTGGTTCTTTTGTTATTTTGTGAATACCAGTGCAACATGTGAGCTGCCAGTGTATTAGTGTTGACTCTTGCTACGTCTCTTTTCTCGTCATCCATGTCCTTAATGTCATGCACTGGCATTGTGATTCAACTTGCTTCACTGAACCATGCATCTTTCCACTGTCCATTTTTAAAATATCAAGTTTCAAAAATCTAAAGATGCTTTCTTAAATTACATTTAACCAGTGTACAAGCATGCTTCTCAATGTCATTTTTCACATCAAATTACTGTTTACTGTGAAGCATCACACACTAGGGAGATTTTTTCTTTTACTCCTCCTGTGGTTCTCCTATACCTAAAGCTGTATCTTTTGTGGAGATGTTTTCAATATACTTTACTATCACAATGCTACTTTATGTGCTAGTTTTCATCTTATAATCTTAAAAGTTTATTTTTAAAATTTATTCATTTTTTATTTATTCAAAGATAAGGAAGAATCTTAATAAATAAAGCAGTGACAGATAGAGGACAGACAACCTTACTGTATATATTATAGACTCATAGGCTCTAGACCTTAGAGAACATATAGTCCAAATTTATTTCAACTTTTAGATGAGGAAACCGAAGTCAAGAAGGGTCAGATTACTTGCCTGATGTCACAATATTTGCTATTGACAGAGCCAAGACTAGAAGCCAAGCCTCTTGAGTCTCAGGGTCATAGCTTTAAAGAAACCATTAATTTATGGCCTTACAGGGAACTTCTCAATTATGTATATTAGACAGTTAGAAAAATATCAGAGAAACTTCTTATATCAAGAGAGATGTTAAAACCAAGAGAAGAGCATAGGAACATGATTCAAGATGGATAAAAATGCAAAGCTTAAAAATTGAGCTCTCAAGGAAAGCATTAAGAAGCTGTGATACTAAGTCCAGATTGAGTTGAAACACATAAAATCTTTACTTAATCACAAATTTTTATTTTTACCTAATATTTGGCGAATTTCTGGCCATTCTCTCTGTACTTCTAGCATAGACTTCAGTTTATCACATAGAGGAACGTAATCCATATAATCTATTAAAATACGCATAACACGACCCAACAAATGCTTCATCCAAGGAACTGTAATAAACTCACAGAACTGAAAGAATTTTAAAAATATACAGATTAATGTTTTAAAGCACCATATATATGAATATATGTGTATATATATCATAGCAACTTATTTATAATGAACTTACTAAAAAATATTCTCCCCCCCTTTGCAGAAAACAAAGGTCCCAAGAAATGGGTTCTTTCATCTCTGAATATAGCTATAGGATCTTCCTTAAGATAAAATCAAAGTAACTGGAAAATATTTTCTTATTTTTCTGAAACTATCATCCCAGAGAAATATGGCTGGGTCTGAAATGATCATGTTCAGTAATAACTGGTAGAAAATTGCTTGTTTCTACCTTTTTTTGGGGGGGGGGGCCTAGGTAATGGGGTTGAGTGACTTGCCTAGAGTCACATAGTTAGTTAAGTGTTACGAGTCTGAGGCTAGATTTGAACTCTGGTACTCCTGACTCCAGGGCTGGTGCTCTACCCACTGTGCCACTTAGCTGCCCTGTTTCTACCCTTTGTCAATGTTCTATCCAGTAACCTGAACCCTACATTTTTAGATATTTTCCAATTCTTCTGCACCCAGTTTGACCCAACTCTAATTCAAAATATAAATTGGAACTTCATATCATCTATTTCATGTATTATAGTTGTTTGATAGGAGTATTCAAGTAATGGAAACACCATTAGAGCTACTGTTTTCTTGATGTGTGTGTGTGCACATGCACATGCATATGAAAGCTCTCCATATGCAACATGGTAAAGTTGATAAGTAAGGGAAGATTATAACAAAACTTAAAGAAAAAAGAGAAGCAACTTACCGGGTTATCTTTTATTACACAAGAAGTCCATCCTGGGAGTACATCTTCTTCAATCTCAGACCACACAAAGGAATTTCCAAAGATATCCCCATGCATGCAATCAAAGCACATCTCCACTTGATAGCCATTATTCAGCAACAGTCTAAGCATTACCTCATCATTCAAAGCATATTGAATGGCACTGGGGAACCTGGTGTCATTCACATGCATGAAGTAACAATTGACATTTGCTCCATGGGAGAGAAGCAATCTGACAATTTCATGATTTCCAGCTCTCACTGCCACAAGCAGACAATTTAGGGGATCTTGGTTTGGGTCTGCACCTGCAGCCAACAAAACTTCTGTACAGAGGATGTCATTATTGCAAACAGCAAAATACAGTGCGGTCTTCCTTCCATCATCATAGTTCTCAGAAATGTGATCAGCCAGGGGAGTATTGACATCAAAATCATTTTCAATGAGTAATTCCAGACACTGCACATTTTGGCCTTCAGCTGCTGAATGAATGGGGGTTAACCCACTTTTCTGTATTGCATTTTTGGATGTTACTGGGATGAGGTATTTCAGAGCCCTGGAAAAAGAGTGTCAAATATCCATGCTACATAGATAAAAAAAAAAAAAAAACAACCTTCCTCATGAAATCTTATTTTTCCTTCTGAACATGTTTTGATGCAAAACATTTTAATCCTATGTATAGTCTTCCTAATAATTTTTAGCTTTTTACCTTCCTATTCTTTATTTTTGGTTCTGATTCTTGTTTCCTTAGTGGCTCTTCAAAGTTTCTCTGAATAATCAGCACTTATTGTATTTAAGAGAAATAGCACAGTACAGGCTTTGGAGACAGTGGTCTTTGAAGACTTGGCTTATGTTCTGCCTTTTACACAATTGGCTGTGTGACCATGAACAAGTTACTTAACCTCACTATAGCTCAGTAAACTCTTTAAGATTATAAATTATAGGGAGTTGCTGACTTGCATGGATAGAGAAAGCTTTCACTTGAAGAAATTCTCCAACCCAAAGAAGATACAGGTCTGGACCCCTTTCAAAATTACTAAATTGAACAGTGTTATGCATATAAGCAACTAAGAAGTCCTTTAAGATTATAAAAAGGAAGGTCAGGTTTAGTTACCAAATAATACCCTTGAATATTTTACTTTGTTACATAAACAAGATGAGAAATCTCTGTAAAATAATATAATGAATATGCATTCCCTATCTGTATTTATGTGATTTGGCCAAAAAGAGAAGACTTTACTATTTCACTGAAATGTCAATCAAATCAAACATGATCACTAATCACACAGTTTCTAGAGGATGTGACAAATGGTTGTGAACTTTTCACACTTGACTGCTCAGCTAGATCATGTATGAATGATATAATTAGAGATAATTTGATTTCTTATGGCATCAAGTTCAGAGCTATCATGTGTGAATTTATGGACACTGGGATTAAATCCAAGTAAAACAAACAGTATCTCATTTAATCTCATTTATGTAGCACTGTGAATTTAACCCTCAAATCTCAACAAGGTGTGGACATGTCCTTGGGGTCTTGAAGGCTTTGTCAGCAGAGCATAAACTCTGGCAGGCCCTACCAAGGTAGAAAGGTTTCAAGTATGAGCTCAATGATGGGCTATATGCCAGTTGCCCTCTGATCAGCCTAGCTTACTGCAGAAGCCATCATCTAGCTAGGATGATAAATTTTTTAGCTACAGTAACTTAGAAAAATTCTACTAAGGCATGGAGGACTTACAATCTGTTTTAATAGAGACAGTTTCCACACTAATAAAATTAGCATTTCTTTGAAGGTCTCAAGTATAATGTGACTGTTGAGCAATCTATAGCCAAGTGACTTTGCTAACTTGGCTTTTTTTTTTTTTTTTTTTTTAGGCAATTGGGGTTAACTGACTTGCCCAGGGTTACACAGCTAGTAAGTGTCAAGTGTTTGGTCTGAGGCCAGATTTGAACTCAGGTCCTCCTGACTTCTGGGCCAGTGCTCTATCCACTGCGCCATCTAGCTGCCCCTTAACTTGGCTTTTGAGCCTTTGAGAAGTATTCAACAGCCATCACATGGCTGGTTACTATTGATAGTACCAGTTTTTTACTGCTTGCTATAGAGGTTAATGACACATTAAGTAATAAAATCCCCCCAACTATTTGTACAGACTGTCAATAATTAAGTCTATAAAAAATGGAACATTTCAATCTAACCTTATCTATTACCTATTAGTTCTAGTGTGGATTGGCCAATATGCTATAAAAAAAATTATCACTTTGAAAAATCAACAGAAGGTATTGTGGTAAAGCTTGGTATAGTGGAGTTAGAGGACATGGGTCCAACCTTTTTCTAAATCTATGATGATCCTTTGTAGTTGAAGTCATCTTTAAAAGTTTAAACTCTGAGCCTACAAGCAAAAATTTCAGAAAAGGCACCGTTAGCTTTTCACTAATTATGGGTTAATTGAGGATCTTGAGGAGAGAACCAACCCAACTTCTGAATGTGTCCTCTGGGCCTTACTTACAAGTAATGTCCTTCATAAGCAGCTCGATGAATAGGGAGGTGTCCTGATCTATTAGGAACATTACCACTTCCTCCATATTCCAACAAAAGAGAAATACAGTCAGGATTACCCCCTCCTGCTGCCTCAAACAGCACAGATGCCCCATCATCCGCCAAAGCGAAAACATCACCACCTAGGATGAGACGTTTGTCATAAGGATGTCTATATAAATTGGTGAAATTGTTCTCCCCTTAAAAATTGCCTGTCTTTATTTTTCCTTATTTAGTAGATGTTAACCTTAAAACAACAACCACCTTATAGACACTGAAGTGTAGTAGTGTAACATATATCTTAAAGATACGATACAACTATGGTGCTGGAAATAACCTTAGAAGCCAGCTTGTTAATCCTTCTACCCCTCTTTCAGAATTGTACTGAAATACACCAGGGTATGCCAATATTCTGACAGATCTATCTTGTCAATGTGGATTTTCCTTCCAATGATGTAGAGTGCGACCTGTCCATGTCTAACCATTCATTATACTCTCATCCATGTCCTCCCATGTGTTTGCCAAAAAGAGTCCACAATACCCCATATTAATTAGTGGTAAATCTCAATTTCACTCATTCCTTTATCTAGTAATAGATATAGTATCTGACTCTCTCTCTCTCTATATATATATATGTGTGTGTGTGTGTGTATGTGTGTGTGTTTGTGTGTGTGTGTCTGTGTGTGTGTGTGTTTGTGTGTGTGTGTGTGTGTGTGTGTGTGTGTGTGTGTGTGTGTGTGTGTGTGTGTGTGTGTGTGTGTGTGTGTATAAGGCACTGTTAGGCGCTGATAACAGATAACTTTTACTAGTCCAATTTCTTTCCACGTACCTTTATGGATGAGATGTTCTAACACGTCACAGTGACCGTACTCAGCAGCAACGCCCAAAGGTGTAATTCCAAATCCATCACGCAGGTGCACATTTCCTCCATTCTTTAGGAGCAGAGCAATAATATCCTTGCGGCCCTGTTTGGCTGCCTCATGCATCGCTGACCAGCTTTTGATACACGGTAGGTCGAGGTTAGTGTTATGTTTAATCAGAAGGGCCACCATGTCATAGGAACCCTTTCTAATAGCTTGAAAATATAAAAAGAGTTCAGATAAAATTTAACCGATCACTAATACATTTACACTTCTATTTTGTATACTGAAAGCTACAATCAGAAGAAGCCTGTGATGGGGAAGTTTTAGAAGGGATTATCCATCAGATTTGAGATGGTCTCTATGGCCTCTAATGTCCCTTACAACTCTTAGATTCTGTGAGCAACCACTCGAGGTTGTTGTTATGCTTTTACTTCAAAGCCTTAAGGAAGAATAAGCTTTTCGTAGGACATGTCAGTGCAGCCCAGCAACTTTAGAATTCACAAGGGAATCTTTTAAGATTTCCACATGAACATATTCCTTCCCTCCTTGGGCTTGTGCTAAGATTTTATGGTTTTGCTTTGCAAAACAAAATATATGCTGGATAAAATCACCACATATTCAGTAAGAATATAAGGTTAGACTTTAATAAACATTCTAGAACTTTAAAAATGCCAGCAACTACTGATACAGTGGAGACACCTTGGGAGAAAATTTGTTTAGTTGTTTTCAGTTATGTCCGACTCTTCGTGACCCCATTTGAGGTTTTCTTGGCAGAGATTCTGAAGTGGTTTGTCATTTCCTTCTCAAGTTTATTTTATAGATGAAGAAACTTGGAGGAAACAGGGTTAAGTGACTTGCCCAGGGTCATACAGCTTGGAAGTGTATGAGGCCAGATTTGAACCTAGGAAGATGAGTCTTCCTGACTCCAGGCCCAGCACTCTATTCACTGTGCCACCTAGCTGCCCCCTTGGGAGAAAATCAATTTATCCTAATGCTGTTGCCTTTGCTCAAACACTTTAGGATCTCCTCTTATGGAATTGCCTTCAGAAGCTGTGTCAGCAGTGAAAGCACTTGCCAGGGGGAGCCCAGGAACTGGCCAACGAGAAAAAAGCATACATGAAGAACATGTGTGTATCTGGTATACACATATATTAGACAAGAAAAGTGCTCTTTCTTAGCACTTCTGACAAATTATACCCCAAGAGAGAGATACAGCCTGCAGGTTGTGTAACAGCTTTAGCTTTAACAGTTTGTGATTTGAGACTAATCACTACAGTTCTACAGAGAAAGAACACAGAGTGCGTCATGTGAGTGCTATGGAGTAAAGGTGGAGACTGGCCTATGCTTTAACATATGAACACATGTCATGATGGCATCAGGATTTCCAGGTCCTTAATCTTAGGGTGTGACTTCTATGACTTTCCAAGGCTTAAAATGGTGAAGTTTTCATTCCCGGGAAAGAGCGTTATGTCGCTTCCAGTCCCTGTTCCCCTTAATCCATCCTTCAGATAACCCTCAAACCAATCTTTCTAATGCACAGGTTTGATCATGTCACCCTCCCTGCTCAAAAACTCTTTATGTTGTCTGTATCTTGTTTGTATATACTTGTTTGCATGCTGTCTCCCCCAACAGACCCCAAGTTCCATGAGAGTAGGGACTGTCTTTTGCCTTTCTCATACCCCTAGCACTTGGCACAGTCCCTGGTAAGAAGTTGGCACTTAATAAGTGTTTACTGATTGACTACTGCTATAAGATAAATTATAAACTCCTTAGCCTGGTATTTAAGACCCTCTGCAATTACCTTTCCAGCCAAGTTTTATACTTCATTCCTTCTACATTCCAACCAAACTGGACCGCTAGATGTTACCCAACCTTGTCCTGACCCTTTCTGCCTCTGTACTTTTCACACAGATCGTGTCCAATGTCTAGAACACTTTGTCTCTTTCCTTATCTGTACCAGTTGAAATCTTTCTTCAAAGAAACTAGCAATACCTCCTCTGAAATTTTCCCTGATCCTTTCAACCTAACATGATTTCTCCCTTCTCAAATTTTCATTATACATTCTCTGGAATCCTTCTTTGCCCTTATAGTATATCATATTTAAGAACACATTCTATCCCTCCCCATTTGATTATAACCTCCATCAAGGGAAGGACTGTGCCATTTTTCATCCTTGTTTCCCAGTGTCTAACAGTAGTGTGTGTGTGTGTGTGTGTGTGTGTGTGTGTGTGCGCATGTAATTTATTATGTACTTTTTTGCATATATATTTTGTACATATACATGTAACATATATGCCTTTTTAAAAGCAAGTGGTATGAAATGGAGATTTGCAGTTTCAGATAGAATATTTTTGTTGTCTTCTGCTGTGTGTATGGGAATGCTCCCTTTTGGTGTTTAAGTTCAGAATAAAATAATTTAAGAATACTTGAGGAAAGAAAGAATAGTTTCGCCGGGAAGATTGGGGAAGGTTACATGAAGGAACTATCTATCACCTAAGTTATATCTTAAAGAAAGATTAAGAATCAGGAAAACAGAGATACAAAAGGAATATATTTCACAAAAGTAGGTAAGATAGTATCATATGGGGTTAGTGACACAATGAGTTCAGGGAAGAGCTAATTATCTAGTGTGGCTGGAACATAGTATATGTGAGGGGGCATAATGTGAAATAAGATGAATAAAAGTAGGCTAGAGTCAGATTTTGGCCAAGCTAATGCATTCGTCTTTTATCTTGGACGCAACAGGAAGCTTATGAAAGTTTATGAATGGGATACTGACAGGGTCAGATTTGTATTTTGGAGTGATTACTTTGGCAGCTGTGTGAAAAGATGGATTGTAGAGAGGGTGGAAACTACAATTATGGAGCCCATTTGGGAGCCTATTACAATAATCTAGATAAGTGATGATAAAGATCTGAGTGAAGAAAGTTGTCGTGAGAGATGTAGAGGTAAAATTGACAGGACTTGGTAACTCATTGGATATATGGCGAAAGGAAAGGGAAGAGCTGAAAAATTAGGTCATGAAGCTGGGTGATGGAAAGAGTGGTGGTGCCAACAAGAGAAAGAGGAGAACTTGCAGGAAGAACAGGTTTAAATGGGAAGATGAAGACTTCCAAGACTGTTACTTTTAAAGTTCCATCAGCACACTCAGGTGGAGATATCCAACAGGCAGTTGAAGCTATGGGACTAAAGTTAGGAAGGAGAGTAAGACTAGATTTATAGGTTGGGGAGTCATCTGTGGAGAGGTGATAGTGGAACCCATGGGAGGAACAGATAAGATCACATGAGAAAAGAGTTAAGGACCTAGCCTTGAGAGACCCTCATGTTAGGGGGTGGAAAGTGGATGAAAAACAAGCAGAATACTGGAAAGGAGTTTTCGGCAGGGTAGCGGGGGAAGAGAAGGTGGGAGAATAAAGAGAGAGCAGTGTTATGGAAACCAAAGGAAGAGACAATGTCTAACAAGCAGGGATGTTCAACGGTGCCAAAAGAGTGGTTAAGGAGGATACAAATTGAGAAAAGATCATTGGATTTAGTCATTAAGAGATCACTGATAATTTTATTTATTTATTTATTTTTTGGTGAGGCAGTGGGGTTAGGTGACTTGCCCAGGGTCACACAGCTAGTAAGTATCAAGTGTCTAAGGCCACATTTGAACTCAGGTCCTCCTGACTCCAGGGCCAGTGTTCTATCCACTGCACCACTTAGCTGCCCCACCAATAATTTTTAAGGAAGTAATTTTGGTAGAGTGTTGGGGTTGAAAGATTGATTGTAAGACCCTGATGATGAGTGTGTGGTGAGGAAATTAAGGTGGTGAGAATATACAACTCTTTCTGAGAACTTAGTAATGAAAGGGAGAGAGACATAGGTTGATAGTTAGAAGGGGGGAGATGTCAGGGTCAAATGAAGGTTTTTTAAGGGTAGGAGAGTTTGGCATGTTTTAGGTATTAATGAAGAAACAAGAAGACAACGACATATTGCAGATGAGAGGAGGAATTATCGATAGGGCAAGCTCCCAGAGCTTGTAATAAATGTCAAGAGAAGAATTTCAATTCCAGCTCTTCTTTAAAACAGGCACTCTCTCAATGATGTCACACTAATTTCCATGTATAGTACGATGAAGGACTGACCACTGGGCCCTCAAGACTCTACCCAACTTGTACGAGCTTGGATAGCTGTCTGCTGCATGGTCATGATGCTGTATAATGAAGTGGGTTGGAGGAACTTTGGAAGCATGAGTAAACATGTTGTAACTGGCTCTGATATGCTGATCACTGGTGAGAAGGAGCCATTGCACTCGGCCAGAGGGTGCATTCAAACTATTCAGGCTCTTCCCTCTCTCTTGGTTTGACTCCACTGAGCTGGAGGGGTCTCAGACTTCATCTAGTCGAGTCCCTTCATTTTACAGATGAAAAAACTGAGACCCAGAGACCTTGTCTGAGGTTACTGAGCTGGCTAACAAAGAGCAGGGCTAGGAATCCCAGACACTCTCCAGCACTTTCTAGAGAGCTGGTTAGGCTAAGCTAACCCAAGAGGTACTACTAACTGTGCCGAGGCTGTCAATAATGTCGTGTTCTGATTTAGAGAAGCATTCATTCTTTGCATCAGAATCTGCCTTTTCTAGCTTCATGGGGAGTAATGGTGACATTCCCTGGGAGAAATGAGTACAAGTTGCAGGAAACGTAATACAACTTTATGGAATGCATGGCAGCAGTAATTTGGGAAAGTTTAATAAGTGTGGAAGATAATGTAAACTTCAGGAAATGTAAATTCCATTCATTTGAATAATGTATAGAGTTTAAAATCTTCGTTTAGCTCTCTTCTTAAGTTAAATAAACTCAGGTCCTATGACCTTTCCTCATTTTAAACCTTTAACGATTTTAGTTGCTCTCCTCTGGCCTCCCTCCCGACTCTCCACATCGCTCTTCAGTGGCAGGTCCTAAACTTAGTTACACTGAGTTCCTGCCAGTAACATGTGCACCTTAGGAGCTCAAGCAGTTGTTGATAAGGCTGGCTTTAGAATCTGGGAAATGATTCGAAGGGGTTATTCTTACAGGGGCCAACACCTTTCCAACTACCCTTGCAAACAGGGACAAAAATTTTACCCTGCACTGAAAAACGCATTAGCTTCTCACTCTCCTCTCAAGAAAGAAACAATCTAGAAATTAGAAACATAGCTTGAATGAACATTTGCCTCATGCTTCTTGATATTATCTGTCCCTGATCTGAAAATTATTCCCTTATTCGTGCATGCACATGTGTATGTGTGTGTGTATGTGTGTGTGTGTTTGTTTTAAGGGGTAGGGAAGAGAAAGGGATTCATGTTAATATAGTCCATAAGGGCTTTTTTTGGGAGTTCCCTTTGTCCAAACATAATAGAAAGAGTAGAGTCATTAGAGCAGAGTAGCAGATAAAAGAGTCATTATTTGCCCTTTTGGTTGAGTCTTTGGGATTTTCCAAATATATCATAATATTGTCTACAAAAGGAGATAGTTTTATTACTTCATTCCCTATTCTGATTCCTTCTGTTTCTTTTTCTTTTCTTATTGCTATTGCTAGGATTTCCAATACAATAGTGAATAATATTAGTGACATACTTGTTTCATACCTGATCTTATTTTTAGGCAAAAAAACCACATCTAGAGCTAGAGAAAGGTGCTTTTATATATAGCCTTTGATTTTGGTTTGGGTAGTTCATGGTTTCATGGTTTCAAACAGTCTGAACAGTACAGTTCCTAAAAGAAGGTGGTGGGAAAAGGCCTAAGAAGCACAAAAGTTAAGTACACAAAGGAATAACTATGAAAGACTGGGTGTGCATTGGAAAGAAGAGTTCTGAAGACAGGTTGCATGTGGAGATTTAGATTTGTGAATCATCTGCGTGGAGATGATTCTAGCATCACAGATTGAGAGCCAGAAGGGACTTTAGAGTTCATTTAATCCAACTCCATTTATTTTATAGATAAGGACACTGAAGCCCAGAGAGGGTAAGTGTTTTTCCCCAAGGTCATACAGATTATAGGTGGCAGACCATGAGATTCAAACTCACATCTCACTCCCAAGAGAAGTTATAGATCTCAATGAGATTAGAAAGGGAGAACAGAGGAAGAAGAGCAAAGGAAGCCAAGGATAGATATTTGGGGCTAGAGCACAGGATGTGAAACCTCCACAGTTGGTGACAAAGAGCCTATTTATTCCAGGGAGAGGTGTGTAGAGCCTAAAGCTGATTTTACTAGGTGGGGAATCCTAGCTTCATCCCCTACCCCTTGGTCGGAATTTAGAATCCAGCCCCTCTCACGATGGCAACCTAGGCAAGTCACATGATAATAAATTAATAGTAAACCAAAGGCTAAGCTACAAAGTAGTAGTAGATAAAAGAGTCGTTATTTGTCCACCCTTGTTTGCCCACACATAGCAAGACCCATCAGACTAAGCCAGAGGGTAGCTAGTCAACACATGGCACAGGCACAAGGAGGGAAGAAGGATGGATTGCAGGAAGTGGGAGTTATCAGTCAAACCATAGCTAGTTCAGGGGAAACAGTGCCTCAGGGCACTGACATGGGGAAGGAGGTACTTTTCTTCTCCCCTACTTTGAATTCCATCTCTGTTTCTCACCTTGTAGTTATATGCCTTATAACTGACCCTGGGCTTCCACCTCAAAGGTCAAATCACTATGGTACCCATTTTGTGATGCTCCACAGTTACCTACATTATCCCTTTTCCTGAAGGGATTATCCCATCACCACTACCGCCACCCTGCCCTGGGTCTTCCCTTTTCCCTTCACCTCCTTCCCCTTCCACACTCCTCAAACCCTGCCCCCCCAGTAAATTTGCCACAGACACATTTAGGGCTCTGGTTATTAGGTAAACTTATTTCTAGTACCAAACATGAACATCATATAGATTTCTTTATCAATTAACCAAAAGTTATTTAAGCACCTATGTGCCCAGCACCTAAAAGAAGCCATTTACCAAGTAGAAGGGGAGTTTCTCCTTTGAGGTTTTTGGTGTCTGGACACACTCCCTTTTCCAGTAGAGTTCTTACATTTTCCACCAGACCAGAATCGATTGCTAGAGTTAATGGTGTTTCTCCATCACAAGTACTGTATTCCCAAAGAGTTTTGTAGGATGCTGAGACAGGAAAAACATTGTATGGAATCAAGAAAATATCAACAAGCATAATACATACAATGGTCACAAATTCCAACATTTTATCACATTTATATTATGCTTTAAATTGATTTCAGTATGTACTTGCAAGTTTATTAGCATGAACCCGTTGTTGAACATGGTGATAAGGTTACAATTTTCTGGTTTTCTAATTCAGCAACATTTTCTCAAAATCAGAAACTTTCTCAACAAATATGCCTAGAAAAATGCTGAGGAGATATGAACAAGGTCTAAAAAAAACATCAAGTGTATGAAGAGCAAACACAGATTTATTCACTGAGGGAATAATCAACAAATCAACAGATTTTTACTGGGCACCTACTGCAGAGTACTATATATTAAATCCCAGAAATCTAGAACTGAGAAATACCTTTCAAACTTAAAAGATTTAAATTTGGGATTAAAAAAAAGAAAATTCTATATTAAACAATGAATTTACTTGTAGATCTCATTACCACAAGATGCAATATGGTTTGCAAAAAAAATTCAAATTAATTAATGGATGATGTCCTTTATGGGTTGGCATGGCCAAAGAATTCATCCCCAAGGAGCCATCTACTGATGATTACTCTACTTAACTAGGCTGGTCCTTACTATGCCCAAAGGGCTATAAAAATGTGCATACTCTTTAATCCAGCAATAGCACTTCTAGGGCTACATCCCAAAGAGATCATACAAATAGGAAAAGGACCCACATGTACAAAAATATTTATAGCAGCTCTTTTTGTGGTGGCAAAAAAATTGGAAATTGAGAGGATGCCCATCAATTGGGGAATGGCTGAATAAGTTGTGGTATATGAATACATTGGAATACTATTGTGCTATAAGAAATGATGAACAGGCTGACTTCAGAAAAACCTGAAAAAGACTTGTATGGTCTGAAGCTGAGTGAAATGAGCAGATCCAAAGAGAACACTGTACACAATAATAGCCACCTTGTGTGATGACTAATATTGATAGACTTAACCCTTTCCAGCAATACAAGGATCTAAGACATATCCAAAGGCATTATGATGGAAAATGCTATCCACATCCAAAGAAAGAACTATGGAGTTTGAATGCAGATCGAAGCATATTATTTGCTTTTTTTTCCTTTAATGTGAAAATATGTTTAATAGGAATGTATACGTACAGCCTATATCAGATTGTGCACCGTCTTGGGGAGAATGGTGGGGAGGAAGGGGGAGAAAAATTCTAAACTCAAAAGCATATGGAAGTGATTGTTGATAAATCAAAATAAATTAATTTAAAAAAAAATTAAAAAACTAGGCTGGTCCTTAAAAAGTAGGCACAGACTGTTGCTGGCATCTTGAAGCTTTTCAAGCACAGTAGAATCTGCCAGCGCTCACTTATTTTTCCACAGGAATTAGGCAGGATAAGCAATATAAAGAATGTTATTAAAGAAATGCATAATTTAAATAAGGAGGTGGACATGTCACATAGCAAGAGTTAGAACTAACCGAAAAACAACTCATGCCTTCCACTAGTAGCTTCACAATGTCAAAATAATTCCAAGAAGGACCCTAGCATGTTGGTGGACCCTTTGTAGTGAACTTAGAGGAGAATGTGGACAACAACTGCACAAGAAGGACAGGCATGGATGGATTATGATCTCCACTGTTGCAGGAAATATCTACATTGAAGAGATCATTGATTCATTGGAGTATCAAGTACTGTATATCCATGATATTATTGAGAAGTGGGATACATTTCTGTCCCTTTAAAGGACAGCTAAAGTCTCTCATAACACTCTTAGTGCCACTCTCAGAAACAACGCCGGAATGGATAGACACACCATGCATCTGTCCAAATGGCAATTCTTATGTCCTTATGTTAGATTGTGACTTGAACAGCTCCTCCAAGAATTGCTTTTCTCAAATCCTATAGGCCACTACTTTGCTTTTCTTTGTGGTTTATTTTGAATCAAGGATGGCAACCATAACTTTTCATTCTTGTTTTGAGATAACTGAAGATATTTGGATTCACTTACCGTCCAGAACAATTTCAAGTATTTGCTGAACAGGTTGAACTGCTGCCTCATGCAGTGGGAACCACCCATTGTCATCAGCTTCATCCAAAGCATATTTATATTTCACATAGTCCTGGAGCTCAAGGATTTGGCCTAAGTTAAACATATGAAATGACTGTAAATTTCCATTCTTAGCATTGCAAATCTTCCTTGCCGTACTCTATGAACAATGTGCATAGATACCTTTTTTAATGGCCTCTACAAGTTTTCTGTTCTTAGCACTTAGGGGCACAAACCTAGCAAGGAAAAATAATAGCTATGTTATTATACCATTTCAAGGCATTTAATGATTTAATTTTCCATTGATTTCTGCCCACATGCATTTATTCAGACCTTACAGGAAATGCATGAATAGGAGGCTAACATACTTTTTGTTCTTCAAATCTATAGAAAATAGATCTTAGAGTAGATTTATGATATTGGACAATTAGTGGGAATGACATGGTATAGAAGACATACTTTATCTTTGAAACCAGTTCTAAGTAATGCAAAATAACACAGAACTGAAAGTTGCCTATGAAAGTCAATTAATTCCATTATTCATGTTAACTACCTGCCCCTGGATGTCTAGCTCAAAATCGACTAACAAATGAAAATGTAGGTAGTTATCTTTGCTTATTGATCACTATAGACTGACATTTAGTTTAAAATATTGACTTTTTATCCTAAATAATTGAGATAAATTGTCAATTGTACATTTAACTTTGAGCTATGCAGATCTGGTTTAAATGGGAGTGTAGAGTTTACTTTGCAAAGTATTTTCAACTAACTGATACAAAAATAAAAAGTAGAGAGAGCATTTCTTGAAGATACTCCCAGTCTCTATCAATTTGTTGTTGTTTTTCCATTGTTTCAGTTGTGTCTGACTCTTCGTGACTCCATTTGAGATTTTCTTGGCAAAAATACAGGAGTTCTTTGCCATTTCCTTCTCCAGCTCATTTTACAGATGAGGAAACTGAGGCAAACAGGGTTAAGTGATTTGCACAGGATCACACAGCTAGTAAGTGTCTGAGGCCAGATTTGAACTCAGGAAGATGAGTCTTCTTACTCCAGTACCCACACTTTATCCATTGTGCCACCTAGCTGCCCCAGTCTCTATCAATAGCTTTTGCCAAAATGTCATAATCTATGCTCTCTTCGCCCTTTCTGTTTCTTCTCTTTCAATGGAAATAATACATTTTATAAAAGTTTCATTAACTCTATTGAGAAGAAACATCTTTAAGAAGCAAGGGTCATGAATGCCTTTTTGTGAATGACAAATCAGAAAGGAGAAAATATATTTCCAGATATGCTTAAATTGTTCAATGCAATAATCTTAAAGCCTGGCTAATGAAATAATATATGTACTTTGTAAAGCTTATAACACCATATAAATGTCAGCTGTCATTACAGGGGAATCATTATGATAGAGTGAAAAACATTTTGAACTTGGGTCAGGAGAAACTTGGGTTTGAATGTCATCTTTCACACTCATTAGCTATGTCATATAATTTGCCTGGGCTTCAGTTCCTCATCTGTAAAATGGGGATAATAAAACCTATAGCACTAACCTTTCTGGGATACTGGAAGAACAAAATAAGATAAAATACTTAGTAAATCTTAAGATGCTACATAAATGTTACCATTATTATCTCGTGTATAAAATAGTGCCTCTTAAGTTTTCTGAATCAAAAGATTCTAAATGTTGTAATAGATTTTGTCATACAGTAGAATATTTTGTAATGAGCAAGAGTGGAAATGGCTTAAACTATTTCAAATATGACATCAATTTGGTATATTTTTATTTAATTCTATCACTTAAACAATTAATGATAAATACTGTGATTTATATGGTATTTTATATTTTGAGAAAGGCTAATAACTAATCTACTCATTTAACCAATAAGTTAGAATTATTTTGTGAATCTCACAATTTTATAGATAAGGAAACCATACCAAGCAGCTGACAAGTACATGGATTGTGCAGGGTTACATTAATCAATGGCAGAATGGGTATGAGACTACAAAGTCATCTTCAGTGCTATCTAGGAATTGGTCATCTAAGTAATATGAGTATATTTTTTTCTTATTTGACTCCATATCATGTTAACTTCACGTGATTTTAGAAAGAACAAATAGCATTGCGCATTTGGACAGATCATCTAGAAAATTCTCATACATTTATGGGATTTGTGGATTTAATGAGTTTAGGAAAATTTTTTAAAGAATGGAATTTGTTAGGATATTTAAAATATCTAACCCCTTACATTTTTTGGACTTGAACAATGTAGGAATTTGTTTTGCTTAACTATGTTTATTTGATACAGAGGTTTTATTTTTCTTTTCTTTTTTCTTATTTCTAATTGGGGAAAAGGCATATATGGAAGGGAGAGAAAAATGGATTTTTGTTCATTGAAAAGTAATAAATATAATTAAAAAATATGCCACTACCACTCCCATTCTCTATCAGGGCATGAGTAAACATATCTAACAACTGTACTGGAAGGGCTTTCATGGATGAGGAATAAAGAGAAGTTCTTCAATTTTATTTTTTTTAATTATATTATCAAAATGATATCTTATGTACTTAATTCCCATGACTCTTACCTTTCAGGATAAAGCTCTTTCTTGTTGGCTTCAATGGATTCTTGAATGCTAAGCTGAATTTCATAATCTGTGAGATGGTCCTCATCAAAGTCACCATTTTCCTCCATGTCTTTGGTGTAATGTTAAAAGAAGCAATTTTGTAAAAGTCAGTACTTGGCCCAGGGCATCATTTGTAATTAACGTGATAGCTCAAATGAAAGACATGAAGTAACTAGCTTAAAAAAAATCCAATCCTTCCCAAAACACAAAAATTTTTGCATGTTAAATCACATGTCAAAATGAAATATTTAAAATAATATATTTATTCATTCATTTAACATTTGTTAAGCACCTTCTCTGTACAGTGCATTGCTAGACATACTGTAACATGTCTTAATTTATATTAGTATTCCTTTGCTGAATAATTTGAAATACACACACACACACACACACACACACAAACACACACAAACACACACACACAGATACAACCACACAGCCACTGGTGGCTATATGGATACTTACTGGACTTGGAGTCTGGAAGATCTTAGTTCAAATCCTGCCTCAGACACTGACTGACCCTAGGTATGTCACTTAACCACACGTCAATTTCCTCATCTGTAAAATAATAGTACCTACCTCACAGTGTTGTTGTATAAATGCTAGCAATTATTACATATGTAAAATAATAGCTGTGCTCTGAAAATAGTTTATGTATAAAGCTCATAATCAAGGCTGCTTAAAATGCTTATAGAAAATTTTTTTATAGTACCAAAAATTAGAAACAAAGTTGGCACACACTGATAGGGAAATGGCTGGCATATAAATATGTTGTTCAGTTGTTTCAGTTGTGTCTGACTCTTTGTAACCCCATTTGGGGTTTTCTTTGCAAAGATACTGGAGTAGTTGGCCATTTCCTTCTCCAGCTCATTTTACAAATGAGGAAACTGAGGCAAACAGAGTTAAGTGACTTGCCCAAAGTCATACAGTTAGTGTTTGAGGCCAGATTTGACCTCAGCTCTTCTTGACTTCAGGTCTGGCATGCTATCTACTGTGCCACCTAGCTTCCCTGTTAATATGAATATACTGGAATATTATTGTGCTCCTTGAAATGATGAATATGAGGAATTCAGAGAAACTGTAGGAACTGATACACAAAAAAGTGAGCAGGACTAGACAAACAGTATATATCAATCAATCAATCCACAAATATTTACTGAGCACCTACTGAGCTACTTCCCCAACAGCTAGATGCTGATGTTAAAAGTACAAAGAATGAAACAATCCCTAATTGCCAGGAGCTTACATGACTACAAAAATGTTAAAAAAAAAAAAAGAAAAGAAAAGAAAAGAAAAGAAAAACAAAAAGAAAAGGACACTACAAAGCTGCTGAATTCAGATGATTTGTAATGATCATGACCAGTCTTGGTCCTGGAGAACAGATGATGGCAGAGAACACTCTCCTCCTCTTTAATTAAAGTTGTGGGGAACTACAGGTATGCATTTGTTGTATACGTTTTTAGACATGAATATTTTGTCAATCAGTTTTAACTATTTTTCTTTGTTACTAGAGTAAGTTTAGTGGATGTAGGAGTTGATAAGGAAATGGCATAAAATGTCATTAATAAAGCTTTAAAATTATACTAATGGGTACATGAAGAATGGGGTCAGCTAGATGGCTCACTGGATAGAGCTCTGGGCCTTGGAGTCAAGAATACCTGAGTTCAGATCTGGCCTCTGACACTTCCTAGCTGTGTGACCCTGGGCAAGTCACTTAACCTCTGTTTGCCTTGGAGGCAACTAGGTGGTTCAGTGGATAAAGCACTGGGCATGGAGTCAGGAAGACCTGAGTTCAAATGTGACCTCAGACACTTCCTACCTGTGTGACCTTTGGCAAGTCACTTGACCTCTGTTTGACTTAAAGCACCGGAGAAGGAAATGGTCAACCACTCTTGTATCTTTGCGACAGTATTGGCATACTATGGTCCACAGGGTCACAAAAAATTGGACACAACTGAGCAAATGAATGATAACAACATGAAGGACAGTTCTAAGTAACAAGATATAGTCATGGGAAATAGCTGATGGACTAATTCAGCATTTAGCAAAGCAGAGTTGGTGTAGCTGTGTTTGAGAAAAGCTGTCATGAAAAAAGAGGTATGGGTGAGAGTCCATATGGGGCAATACTGGGTTTAGAAGTGCAATTCAGTGATACTATTTTATAGACATTCTACTAGGAAGCATTGCTACCACTGCCCTAAATTAGCTTTTACCTATACAGGGGGATCTCTCTGCCTTAGATGGTGCTAATTATATTCAGTCAAGCAAGCATTTATTCAGCATCTATCATATGCCAAACACTATTCTAGGCACTAGAAAATATATTCTCAAACATAACTCAACCTCTGGTTTATTTTTAGGATATGCCATTTTACGCCAAGGTGGACTCTCCACTCTAAACATATGTGTTTGCTACCCCCAACACATGGTTTTCTCATTTACACTTCTGTCCTTTTTCACATTACTTTTTCTTACCCACAATGCCCTCCACATAAGAATTACCATTGTTCACTTCCAAACCCTTCTTAACACATCCATCCCATTAGCTATACAACTTGTGGTACATGAATGCAATGGAATATTACTGTACAATAAGAAATTATAACTGAAGAAAATAAAGAAGCATGGGAGGACTTAAATCACCTGATATAGAGTGAACAGAATCAGAAAAACAACACAATTACCACAGCTTTATAAATGGAAAAAGCAACAACAAATTTCACACTAAATGCTATATAATTATAATGACCAAACTTGGCCCCAGAGAAGAGATAAGACCATATATCTCCTTTTTTGTTTTTTTTTTTTCCAGAGGCAAAGGATTATGGGTATATTGCCCATACCGCCAAATCTGGGTGATGTGTTGGCTAATTTTAACTAAACTAACTGCTTCCCCAGCCCCTCCCCCACCTCCACCTGTCTCTTTTTATGCTTTGTTAGCAGGAATAGTTCTCAGAGTAGGAAAGGGGGGTAAAATATATTTGGAAATGAAGGTAACATAAAAACAAAAGATATCAATAAAAATTATTCAAAACAGAACAAAACCTACCTCCCCTTTGAAATTTTCCCTGCCACTTGCTCCCTGATTGCTCATTTACTGTGAGTCTCTCTACCTTTATGTCCTATACTGTTTCCACTCTTTTTGGGCTTGCACTCATTTAGTGAGGTGTATTCATATGTGTACATTTTGTAACCCTCACTACCCTTCCTCCTCCAAGATTAGTTCCTGGAAGACTAGGCCCATGTAGTCTTTCTTCTATATCACTTTATCCTACTACTTCCCTCATTCCCAAAGCACCTAGCAGATGGCTAGTCACACGAGGAAAGTATGGACCCACTGACTGACAAGCACCAGTGTTTTCAGGTCACACACTTAGCTGATGAACATAAACCTGTGGCATTGCATGTTGCCATTATAACTAATACTGCTGTGGTGATAGGGGGATTGGATGGCCCACGGGATTAGTAATGGGATACAGAGCCTTTCACCTATTTAAATCACAGGTTTAAATCTGGTCCTGAGTAGACTTCAGGCTGTCACTGGATGAGCTTTCTGAGGATGGAATCTCACTGGAAAAAGGGTTGAACTGTGGGGAACCTCAAAAATGTTGTTTATACTAATGCTTAGAGTGTAGTTTGTATGTCCAGATTGGAAGATAACACAGGGTAACGCTTATTTCTTAAATTAAATGGAAGCCCTCACCCTCTACAGCCTACCTTCACATTTTCTGGAGGGATCCTGAATTTGACAGGAAGCCATGTGCACAGTGTATGCTGAGACTTTAACCAGACACAATACATATGATAGACACACATTTGGACACAACAGGATGAAAGGAATGATGAAATGAAATAATGACAAAATGAGTAAGTCCATATCCCACGTGGGGACAGTCAATTGAGTTGACTTCAGTCTTGCCCTTGCCCTAGAATGGACCAAATGACTTCTTGAAGTTCTTCTAATCCTTTGAGTGTAAGGTACCTGTGATAGGACTGGAATCTACCAGGGTTCCTCCTGTCCCTATGTGAGTTAGGAAGATGTAACAGAACTATAACTTGATTGACCCAGGGGTGAAGGAGGATCCAAGCTGTGCCTCTCTTGACATAGCTTCCTGGTGGCCTCTAGTTGTATTAATATGACTTCCTGGTCACCTAGGGGGCATAAAAGATCCTGCTCATATGGGGTTGGGGCTCTTTAGCCTGATGTCTGAAGACCACAGTAGTCACCACACTGAACACTCTACTGAACAGAAGTTTCATAGGAAGATAAGGGAAGTCTCAGCTACCGATGCTAAGTGCTACTATTCCCTTGTCACAAATCCTTGCTATGTCAGGACAAAGTATTTATTGCGGTGTCAAACTCATTCCTAATAGTCCTTAAACTACTTGGATAGTAAACTGATTCATACAAAAGGAATGAATTCATCCAGGCTCCAGATTGTAATTTAGCATTTTGTGGTGTTTTAGATCAGTGGTGTCAAAGTCAAATAGAAATTGAGGCCACTAAACCATAAATAAGGATCTTTGCAGGCCACATATTGTCTTAGAAAACCACATATTTATATTTCTTTTTAAAAAATTAATACATCAACACATTAAAATCTGATAGGGACTACATTTTAATCTGGCTTGGGTCGCATTTGGGAGTTCATATGGCCCATGTATGTGACACCTATGTTCGAGACCATCCCCCTACCTTCACACGAGAGAGATGATTTTTATTCTTTTGTTAATGGATTTTATGATGAGTTGGCTCACCATAAAACTGGAATAATCATCTTTGGTCCTTAGTAGTTTTGAGACACAAAGGGACATAGTAGATGGAAGTGCTATAGTTGGAGTCAGGAAAACCTAGATTTGAATCCCACCTTTAACACTTACTAGCTATGTGACATTTACCCCTCAGTCTAATTTTCTTCATCTGTAAAATGGGGACAGTAATAATAATAAGAATTATATCGGCAGCTAGGTGGCTCAGTGGATAGAGTGCCAGGGCTAGAGTAAGGAGGACTCATTTTCTTGAGTTCAAATCTGGCCTCAGACACTTACTCGGTGTGAGAACCTGGGCAGGTCACTTTAACTCTGTTTGCCTCAGTTTCCTCATCTGTAAAATGAGCTGGAGAAGGAAATGGCAAAGAACTCCTGTATCTTTGCCAAGAAAACCTCAAATGGGGTCACAAAGAGTCAGATACAACTGAAACAACTGAACAACAAAAAATAATAGTAGTAACAATAACTGTATTGCATACCTCCCATGCTATTGTGATGCTCCAGTGATAAGATACACATTCAAAAACTTTAAAGCACTATTGAAATCCCAATTATTACTATTTTCATCCAAGGAGTTCTGAGTACTAGATCTCATTACTCAGTAGCAATATTTTTTCACTTATCCCATTTTACCAAGAAAATAACTAAGACTTTGACTTGACATATTTAAAAAAAGAAAAGTCAATGGCAGGGAATGAGAATCTTTTTGCTAAAGATGGATTTTTGCATTTATGAAAGAGCTAGACAGTTCAGATAGTGAAGATATTCATACAAAACTAACAAGCTCATCCAGGGCTCTAGGTTGTAATTTAGCATCCAGTGGTGTTCCTTGGAGTGTGTATGAAGCAGAGAACACCTTTATTTTTAAATTCTAATCCAAAAGTCTCAGGAAAACACCCTACAGTCTGTTACCTTTAAAGGAAAACACACACGGCTCTTGCTTTTAGCAGCCAGCACTTGTCAGCAATAACTTCCAAAAATAAAAAATATCTTCCAGGGACACATAAATCTTCTCTTTTGGCCTTGTGTAACAGGCTTTGTATTGCTTAGGGTGTTCCGGGGTGTCCTAGGGTGGCCTTCAACCTTGCCTTTTGTGTCTCTGAGCAAAGCCTCAACAGAACCGTCCAAAACAAGAGTCTGCATCCCAGCTGGTGCCTGACTGAAGTGGCCAGGCGGAGGTGGACTGTGTTCCAAGGCATTATGTATGACTGACGAAGAGTACATAACATTTCAGTTCATCCGACTCCCTAAGTGGCTTTAAACCTGTCTTAATATCTCCTTGCTACTGAGGAAGGTGAAAAAGCTATAAAACTCTTCACCATAAATGTTTTAAACGTGTCACCTTTTACAGGGCAAGACCATATCTTTCCTGACTAAATCTGTATAGTACCTATTATATCCCTATTCACTTAAATTGGTTAGCTACTTTTTAAAAATTTTCAGTGTGTCTAAACTGGTTTACTGTTTACCCTTTCTGTCAAGAGTATCACAGCTGGTATAGTCTTGGGGAAGGCTGGTCTTAAGAAATGGTAGTTAGCTTCCTGTGTGGTAGAAAGCACAGGCCCTAAAGTCTCTCTCTTCATCCTGACCTGTCATGTGGATGAAATTCCACCAGTAATGAGCCTTTCTTTTGGGTCTTGAAGGCTTTTTCAATCATTAAGAGTCTCAGTTAAAATGCAAATTCTCTTAGGAAGTATGAAATCTTACTAACTGATAGCTAGTGCCCAATAAGGCCATGATGAAATACACGTGGGGTAGCAATGAGAAGAGTTGATTTTAACTTGGGGAGATGAAGCATAAAATGAATGACAACAAACGTCCCAATTTTTCACAAAACTGAATCTGTTCCTGAATCTCTGAATAACAGTGCAGACGTGAGATGTCTACAGTGGACTGGCAAGGTTAAATTCTGATGTGACCCCATTGGGATGAATAATTTTTTTTGAGGCAGTTAAGGTTAAGTGCCTTGCTCAGGGTCACACAGCAAGTAAGTGTCAAATGTGTGGTCTGAGACCAAATTTGAACTCAGGTCCTCTTGACTCCAGGGTCGGTGCTCTATCCACTGCACCACCTAGCTGCCCCCAGGATGAACAGTTTTTACCTTCAAGCTGAAGTGGCCTTTGATGTGGTCAAGTTTCTGGAAGTCAGGATGACCCTGAAGGATAAAGATCAAAAGGATTGATTATAAGTATTAATAATTTTTGTTTCCATTCTTAAAATAATTATAATATTAGAATAAAGTTTATATATATACATATATATAAATTTTTCCATTTATGTTAGCTTTTTAAAAAATCTGGGCCTTTGATTTCATCCAGGTACAAAATACTTAAAGACAAGTATTCTTTTATCAATGTAGATCAGCGACTTGTTCATAAGTTATCTTAGACAGTTTTCTGGGGACGCTGAGAGGTTTAGTAATTTGACTGTGGTCTCACAGGTAGAATATCTGAAAGGCAGGACTCGAGACCAGGTCTTCGTGACTCCATGGCAGCTAGGTGACAAGTGTTTAGATTGCTAGACTCATGGTCAGTAAGACCTGAATTCCAATCTTGCCCCAGATATTGTCATACAATTTCAACAACATTTTCCCTTCTAGGGCTGTCTAGTTCTTCCAATAAAAATGCAACATCATTGAACTGATCTGTTCCTTCCTAAAAAGTAGCAGCACCTTTGGCAGAGACTCAGAGGGAGAAAATATTGTACTTTTAGGCTAAGGCAAAAAAAATGTGGGGGTTATAGGACAAGCCATTCTTTAATATCTTTTGAGAAGTTTCCTGAACACTCATGTGGTCCTATAAAAGAACAGATCAACAGTGGTGCTCTCCAGGTCATTCATGTGGCTTCTATAAAATTAGTTTTCATTTCTTGTACTGCAATCTTCCCTAAATCTTAAGTGAATAAAGAACTAACCAGGTATATACTCTTATATTGGGTTGGATTAATCCTAACTTCTACTTTCAGACACTGGAATTTCATGTACTCTTTCTGATGCTGAAGCCAAATGGGATTATGGGAGAAAAATAAGATGACTACTGGGTGTACAGAACCAGAAGAAGCCTTATCCTCACACGCACTCTGATTCCCTGGGGGAGTCTAGACAGGCTAAGAGGGAAGGGCAGACAGAGGAGAGCAAATCAGAACACATAGGGCAGCACCCACTTTAAGAAAACTCTTATACCTAAAAATCCTGAACTTACAACGTAGAACACTTATTCAGTTCATGAAAAGATGTCCTAAAAGATTTGCTTAGTGAGTGTATTAAAAAACATGATTTGATTGACAAGTATTAATTTACATAGCTAGAAATTGTCAGGAGTGCAAAGATAGCATATAGCCAGGCACACCTGTCCTAGCATTAAGGAAAAGAAGCTATAAACCCTTTTTTTGGTCCATTATTGGCCAAGTGCCTAGATATTCATAATTTGGCTACAAGGACATTGGTAGTAGGGGCAAAAGAACATGCTTTTACTCTATGGTTATACTATCTTTCTTTGCTCCTGAAAAGCTGTATATGTTACAAATACACTAGGAGAACTGGATATTTACAGAAATCATGTTGTAAATCTCTCTCTAAAGAAAATATTTAATTTCTCATTCATCTTTTGTGAAAAGTTTCATTTATCAGGTTTGCATAAAGTGGGCCATAGGTACTTCCAACCCTGCTGCTTAAGTAGTCAAGAATCACTGAGGAAGAAATCCTGATCTGGAATCATGAACCCCTCCCAAGAATTTCTTGTTATTCGTTCTCTGACCCCTAAGTCTTAGGAAAGGTTTGTTATCCTCAATTACTGTGACAGAATGTAGTTGGAATGGTGAGTTCCAGATTAATAAAGGCTTATTTCATATCATATAAACTAATGGGCATGAGAAATGGTGCTTAATATAATAGTAATGTCGTCTAATGAATAATATGACTTTCCAAATACTACAATGGAAAAAGAAAGATTTTAAGCAAATTCCCATTTAAAATATAAATAATCACTGTTATTTCAGCAAATTGAACTGAAACATTAAAGAAGTTGAATATTCAGTGATCTGTATTTATTCCCTTCTGCAAAGGACTCAGGAAATATAGCTCTAGAAATTTAGGCTGTAGGAAATACAGACTTGGGAAATATGGCTCAGGAAAAACATTCACCTAACAGTAGCTTGCTAGAGAGGCAGCTGGGTGGTAAGGTGGAGTAAGCCCTGGATTTAAGTGTCAGGAAGATCTGAGTTCAAATCCTGTTTCAGAGTGCTTACTACCTGTGATCCTGGATAAATCACTTAACCAGCTCGGCCTTAGTTTCCTCATCTATAAAATGGGAATGATAATAATAGTACCTACTATTATTGTTGTGAGGATCAAATGATATGCATAGATAAAGTACTTTGTAACCCTTAAAGCACTGTATAAAGGCTAGATATTATTTTTAATATATAAAAGAATTTGCAAATGGAACATGAAACTTCTATTTGATTTGAAACTTGATAGCAAATCATTTCAACTGGATTAAAAAGTTCTATGTAAAAGAAGATTTATAGTAAGGTTTATCTATGTCATTTATTGAACATTAATTTTTCCCTCAGGATCCAGGATCGGCTGTCAAGTTCAATAGCACACACCCTGAAATTTCTAACACTGATTAAAAACTTTTTCCTTCATATATAGATACATACATACACACACATATATGTTATATACATAGTATGCATGTATGTAGGAATATATATGCATATATATATATATTTGCCTCCAAATGCTGTTAATATTATCCAAAGTCTGAAATAACCACAAATCACTAGGAAGAAAAAAAAACCCTCCTGATTAAAAATTGTATCTACCACAGATTGGTTACTCTTAAATATCTCTGGGACATGCTTAATTATATGAGGGAAAAGTACTCCTCTAGGTTGGTGTTTTAAAAACAGACAAACCAGTTCTGGGATCATTCTATAATTGAACAGATCCTAGGCGTTCAAGCCTTAAGGTTGAGCCACCCAGAGATTCAGGAAGAGCCACCTGAGTCTGTACATGATTCGTTAGAGTACATTTCCAATTCGAAACTACTTCCCCATTAAGCTAGTGAACAAGGTGCAGATCAAGTATGTCATAGTCTCACCTTTTGGAATCATCATCTTGTCATTCGTATCCAGGGACCTGACTTCCTAACCAAAAGAAACAGTGCCCCATGAGCCAAGGTGTCCCTTCATGTATCTAAATTTAAGTATCCAGTTGGTAGTTAAATTAAGACCTGACCTTGCACAACTGAAACATAAGCAGGGTCCAGCATAGAGGAAAGTATTACCCATGACTTCTCTAGAATCTCATCAAAAGGAACATGAGACTGCTGTGGTAGAAACAGATTATTTGTGTCCTGATTGGTTCAAACAGCTATCAGTAACAAAACAAATGAGCTGCCAGCTGAGCTGTGGCGTCTGTGCCAAACCAAAGGAACAAAATGCAGTCATTTAAAGGGCTTTGTATTATAGTGTGAAGGTACACAAAATGGCCCAGTGGGACTAATTTCCGATTCAGTGCTTATCTTAATGACACAAAACTCAAACTCATCTTTATCATATTATATCACAAAACTGACTCTTCAACATTTTTTGAAGTCATGTTGAGTCTTAATGTAATACCAAGCTTGTTATTTTCTGAATTCAATGAAAGTTGGTGACTCAGTTTTGTCTGGTGAGCATATAACAACTTCCAATCTGACGAGGTAGAGCCAGACATTATGTAATGGTCAGTAATAGCTGGTCTGTTCAAGAATCCCCAGGTAAATGAATTGAGGACATAAATTCCAGGAAAGTGGGCTGTAGACATAAAATGAGAAAGGAATAGATACTAAAACAATAAAAGCCTACTACCACTATAATTAGGAAAATTCAATTGAGGATCAGTATCAAATCAGAGACTTCTCAATCCAGTTATCCAGCCAGATTGCCTCAGGAAATTATCAATTTTATATCTGTGTTTCTGTATACATTTTGTGTATGTGGGGATAGATTTTGTCATTGTATTGCCAAGCATTGCAGAATGTGTTGCACATAGCAGAGGCTTAATAAATGTTTGCAGAATTAAACTGACTTTATCAACTGAAGTCCATTTATATATAAGTCCATTTATAGACTCCATAAATGAAGTCTATTTATTACAAATGAAAAAGCAAAGTGCTCAAGTCCTAAGTATTTCCATACTCTTCTGAGAGTTTGAACTCCGGTAGAAAATTCCTATGAGGATAATGTTACTTGCTGAGACTTCCAGTGGGTAGGAGTGTTGCATGAAAATAGTAATAGTAGTAATTGTTGTTGTTATTGTTCATTTGTTTCAACAGTATCTGACTTCATGACCTCATTTGGGGTTTTCTTGATTAAGGTATTGGAGTGGTTTGCCATTTCCTTCTCCAGCTCATATTACAGATGAGGAAACTGAAGCAAACAGGGTTAAGTGACTTGCCCAGGGTCACACACCTAGTAAGTGTCTGAGGCCACATTTGAACTCACAAAGATGAATCTTCCTGACTCCAGGCCTGGCACTCTATCCATTGTACCACCTAGCTACCCTAATAGTAATAGCTAGAATTTATCTAGTGCTTTAACATTTGCAAAATGTTTTACTAATATTATATCACAGATCAGACATGAATAGAAATGGACTTTAGATTATTTTGTTCTTACCTTAACTTTGGAAAAGTAGGCCTAAACCTAAAAACAGCGGGACCTAAGACAGTGACATGTTTAAATTATGAGTGCACGAAAAAACTGACAAGGAGTCTCTCTTTAAGCTCATGGCTCCCAGAAAAATCTTTCCCAGCTATGGCTAAATGGCCTCACTTCACAGGCCTCCAAGTTTTGTGGAGTCTTCTTGGGCAGTGACTGCCCCTGTGACTCTACAATAATTTTTTTTTTAAAGCAGCTATGTAATGGCAAAAGTACTAGACTTGGAGACAGGAAAACCTTTGATTCTAATTCCACCTTCAACCCTTACTAGCTCTATGATCATCCATCCATCCATCCATCCATCCATCCATCCATCCATCCATCCAT